ATAGACTAGAATCCTGTTTTCTTAGAGCATACTGTAAGATGAAGTCATGTTTAAATGAGATGGATTTTCTGACATTTTTCCTCCTGTATTTTTAGATGATTCCTGTGTAGGAGGTGAGGGTGAACCAGGACAGTTTCCTAGCTTCATTCATGGTTGTAGGGCTTTCTCTTCTGTAATTACTTACTACAGACTATTAGATGACACGGCTTTGTCTCATTTGGTCCCCTCTTCCATCAGCATCTGAACCTCCTCTCCTTGACCCCCAGAGTCCATCCCTTGTCACAGTGTCTTCTATTGCCAAGGGTTTCTCAGCATGAACCTGTGTCCTCTCACTGGCTATCTCTGAGAGCCATACACCAGATTGCCCTCACACGTATACCTTCCTGCAGGCCCCTCCTCCTAGCTGCCAACTGAATTCTGGGCAGGCAGCCCTCTCCCAATTTTCACTACGGTTTTTGGATCTACCAATCGAGATTCCCATCACTATTGGGGATCCTCCATTTAGGGGCTCAGTACATGGTGGAAAATTCTTGGTTCTTTGGCTCTTAGAACCATCACCAGTTCCCCTTACTTTCTCTCTGCTTGCTCCTCCAAAGCTGCTGTTCCCGTGTGATCTTTTTGCTGTTGATGGTTTTAACCCAAACTACTCGTATTCAGGATTCATGGAGACACTTTATCACCTAGTTTTGGTGAAGACCGTGTCCCTGTTTGTTTGTTTTGCTACCCTAGTTGCTCTGTGGGAATTTAGAGAGATTTTAAAAACTACCCACTACTGCTGCCATCCAGCTTCCTATAACTGGGTTCTGAATTTTTAGTTTAAAGTGATTTGCATTTTTCTATTTACATTATAATGCCCAAGATAGGACAGGCTATCTATGGTAACAATTAAATTCAAAACTTTAGTGACTGGTTGGCTGGTTACCTCAGTTGGTTACGGCACAACCTTGTAACACCAAGGTCAAGGGTTCGATTCCTCGTACCAGTCAGCCACCACAAAAGTAAATAAATAAGTAAAAATAAAAAATAAAATAGCTAGACAAACTTTTTTTNTTTTGTGTTGAATCTATAAATTTGGGAGAATCAACACCTTCACATTACCAATACATAAGCATGGTGTAGCTCTCATTTATTTAAATTTTCTCTAATTTTTTTTCCATGCTATTTTATAGTTTGGTATACAGATCTTGCACATCTTCAGTTGATCTTATTCCTAGGAATCTAATGTGTTTTGATGCACATCAAATATAAATGGTATATTTTTAAATTTTCCTTTTCTAACTAATGGTGCTTGTATAAAAACCTTGCAAAATTCACTTATTAATAGTTACCTGTAGATACTTTTATATTTTCTACCTGCATAATTACATCATCTGTAAGTAATGACAATTTTATTTCTTCCTTTCCAATCCTTATACCTTTTACTTCTCTTTCCTGACTTACTGCACTGGTTAGGCTCTCCAGTACAATACTAGATAAAAACAGTTGGAGCAGGCATCCTCGTCACAACACTGATATAAGTGGGAAAGTGGGAAAGCAGAATAATGGCCCCCCAAAATGTCCCTGTCTAGGAAATTAAGGTTTTACATCAACAGATCTTAAAAGGTAGATTATCCTGGATCATCCGGGTGGGCCCAAAGTAATCACAAGAGTCCTTAAAAGCAAATGGAAGAGGGAAGCAGAAGAGACTGTCAGAGAGACTCAATGAGAAAAGGACTGAACCCACCGTTGCTGGCTTTGACGAAGAGGGATACAGCCAAGGAATGTGAGGGTCTCAAGCAGCTGGAAAGGATGAGGAAATGGATTCTCCCCTAGGGACTCCAGCCCTGCTGACATCCTGATTTTAGCCCAGTAAAACCTTTGGTAAGACTTAACCTACAGAACTGTATAATAGATTTGTGTTGTTTTAAGCCACTCAACTTGTGGTAATTTATCATAGCAGCAATAGAAAACTAATACAGAAAGCCTTCAATTTTCAACACTAAATATGACGTCTGCTGTTGGGTTTCTGTGGCTAATGTTGTCTCTCTGTTCTGTGTTCCCTGTGTGTTTGTAACTGTAATAGTTCCTGTAAGCTCTGTCAGCTGTCATTTCATTTCTTCCTGCTGCTTGCCTACCTCATTTAGAGCTTTTCCAATTTTGATACTGTTCTTTCTTAAATTCCTTCAGCATGTTTTATGACATTACTGCTTTCTTCTGCTTCATAGGTATGTTTCCGGGATATCTTCATTTTTGTGCATATGTTATATAGACTAGAATCCTGTTTTCTTAGAGCATACTGTAAGATGAAGTCATGTTTAAATGAGATAGATTTTCTGACATTTTTCCTCCTGTATTTTTAGATGATTCCTGTGTAGGAGGTGAGGGTGAACCAGGACAGTTTCCTAGCTTCATGGTTGTAGGGCTTTCTCTTCTGTAATTACTTACTACAGACTATTAGATGACACGGCTTTGTTTGTCTCATTTAGTCCCCTCTTCCATCAGCATCTGAACCTCCTCTCCTTGACCCCCAGAGTCCATCCCTTGTC